CAGGATGGGGGGATTAATCATTGGGTTGCTCAATTTGATGGGTGGGGGAGTGAGGGAAATTGACAGAATTTGTTCAAATTTGTATTCCAATTTTGTAAATAAACTAGCGGGGGAGGGGGTGGAAATTACCCTTTCACAGAGTCGATTCCAGCTCACAGCAAGCCTCCATTGGGTCGCTGAGGCTATAAATCCTTACTGGAACCCATCTTTCTCCCATGGAGCACTTGGCAAATTCAAACTGCCAGCTTTCTGTTTAGCAGCTGGATACCTTATGCACTACACCATCAGAGCTCCTTTCCCATCTTTGTTGTTGTTAATTGTGATTGAGAGAGTGCTCAACTCATGGTGACTAACACTCAACTGGACTGCACCTTAGTCATTCACACAGTTTTCAATGGCAGATTTTTAGAAGAAGAGTAGCTCGCCAAACCTTGCTTCTTAGTCTGTCTCAGTCTAGAAGCTTCACATAAGCTTGTTAAGCAGAGAGTTCCCTGAACACTACTTGCCTTTAAAGTCCTCATTAGCCCAATTGGTGAAGTTCTAGTTATCCTCCAAAACCTAATTCAAAATCAGTCCTAGCAACATTATGAGCCCTGGGGACGCAGGGGGTGGGGGTTGTCTTTATCCTGTTGTTGCTACTCTCTGGTTTATCCAATCCACCAGCAGCTCCATGGGAAAAAGATGGACCGTCCCTATTAGCCTTTGTCTATTTTGCTATTGTAATTTCCATCATTTTCTATTACAATTTACTTTTTTCATCTCTTGTAAGAACTCTTTTATTCATCTCACTGATCCCAGGGCTTTATCAAAGTAGGTACTTAAGAAATACTTATCAATCTGTGAGCTGTTAATTTGAATCCTCTCCTTTGCTCGATTGAGTTCATCTTAGTCTACCAGGAAATGATCAACGGACTTGAGACATATTTGTAAGCAAAATTACTCACATTCTCAAATCTTTTGAAATCACAGAGACATTCTAGGTATTGTCATAGCAGTTAGCTTTTCAGGGACTTGTGACTTTGTCACTCACTTGTAAAAAGCAAGGATTATACTTATCTCTCTCCCCGATCTTGCTACCCAGCCACCCACCTGTCATTCTTTACAGGTCCACCTTTGTCCCAGAAGTTTACTCTTAAGTAGCTTAAAAAAGGAAACCACTTTGCCAGGGGGGGAAAAAATGAGATAAAACCAATTCAAAGATTTTTACATTCTAACTAAAGAATAGTGATCCATCTCTTCCAACCACAGCCGACCAAGTGTCAGAAAATGGAAAAGTAGACAGGCCTCTTGGCAAGGTGTCGTGGAGACACAGCAATAGCAGGAGGGAAGCTGAGGCAGAAGCCTAGCATCTTCCAAGCACTCAAAGACTAAGGAGAACCTTTCCTTTGGCTATTTTAGGCACTCCAGCTGACAGGTTTAGTCTTTGTGTAAAACAAAGGCTTTGGTCTCATCTGCTAATCTACAGTGGAGCTCTGGTGGCCTTAGAGAGTTTGCACACTAACCCAAAAGCAATGCCTCGCTGGCAGTTCAAATCCACAAGAGGCTCCATGAGAGAAAGATAGACAATATCCTGTGTGACTTACAGCCTTGGAAACCCATTCATTGAAGGGTCGGCTATGAGTTGGTTCTAGTTCAATGACAGTGTGTTTGGGCTTTTTACTTTTTACCTGCTATGCATCTGAAATGACTTAAAATGAATGAAGAATCGGTACCTCTGAGTTATGGGGTTGGAGAAGAGCATTGACTATCCCCTACACTGCCAAGAGAACAAATAGGTCTGTCCTGAAGAAAGTAAAACCAGGGTGCTCCTTGGAGGCAAGGATGGTGAAATTATGTCTCATATACTTTAGGCATGTTGTTTGTAGGGGCCATTCCCTGGAGAAGGACATCATGTTGGGAAAGGCAGAGGATTAGCATGAGAGAGGAAGACCCTCAGATGAATTTTGTTGGTAGCAATGACACAGGATAGGGTGAAGTTCAAAGCCATTGTTCATAGTGTCACTATGAGTTGTAGTAGACTTGATGATATGTGATAACAACAGCATACAAGTTGGTGGTTTGAACCTACCCAAAGGTGCTGCAGACTTTTCTCTCTGCTTCTATAAAGACACTTTTTGTTAATCAGTGTGGGGTGGATTCAAACTCACAGAGACCACATGTGTCACAGTAAAACTCCTCCTGAAGGTTTTCAAAAGCTATGATCATTTTTTAAATCTGTTCTGCATACAGATTAAAAAGGTATGGAGACAGGATGCATCCCTGACACATTTCTTTCCTGATTTTGAACCATGAAGTATTTCCCTGCTCAGATCTGAGGACTGCTTCCTGGTCCAAGTACAGGTTTCACATATGTACAAATCAAGTGTTCTGGGATCCATTTTCCTCAAGGTTAACCACAACTTGTTGTGATCCACACAGTCGAATGCCTTTGCAGAGTCAATGAAACACAGATAGACATTCTTCTGGTACTCTTTGCTTTCTGCCAAGATTCATCTGACAGTGGCAATAAAATCTCTACTGCCACGACCTCTTCTAAACCCAGATTATATTTCTGGTAGTTCTCTGTCAATGTACTATTCCAGTCATTTCTGGATAATCTTCAGGAGGATTTTACTATTGTGTGATATTAGTGATATTGTTCAAAAATTTTCACACTCTGTTGGGTCACCTATTTTGGGAATGAGAATAAATATGGATATCTTCCAGTCAGTTGGTCAAGTAGTTGTCCTCAGAGACAAAAGTTGTGTCAGAGAGCTGGACAATGACTAAGAAGAACAGAAGAAGAATCAATACCTTTGAATTGTGGTGCTGGAGAAGAGTCTTGAACATACCATGGACTGGCAAGAAAACAAATATGTCTGTCTTGGAGAGAATGAAACCGAGTCTCTCTTTGGAGGTTAGGATTCTGAAGCTCTGTCTCACATATTCTGGGCACATGGCAGGAGAGACCGGTCCTTAGGGAAGGGCAACATGCTTGGAAGGGTGGAGGGACAGTGCAGGAGAGGAAGACCCCGGATGAGATGGATTGATACAGTAAGTGGGGCAATGGAGGTTGGTATGTCAAAATTAGTGAGACTGGCTCAGGACAGATCAGGCTTCAGAGCTGCTGTACATAGGGTCGCTATTGGCCACAGATGACTTGTTGGTACATAACAACAATAACAATGATCTTTTTAAAGCAGATTGCCAGTCTGGTCTTCCCAGAACCCTTTAGGTGGGTTTGAATTTACAACTTTTCAGCTTAGTCGAATGCTTAACTGCCACATCCAAAGACTTCTCCACAAAGATTTCAATCAAGAAAAACCTTGTGGAACAGTTTTACTCTGTAACACACCGTCCTAAAGGGTTTGGTTTATTGGCTTGCTAATGGGCTTGCCTAGAGAGGTTGGCTTGTCTTGGAGTTGGTTTTATCTGCCCCACATCAGCAGCAGATTGTTTTGGGAATAAAAGCTGACTATTAAAATGTACATAGTAAATCTATAAACTGGGCTTTTAGGGGAAGTAGAGATGAGAGAGATTGAGAAAGAAAGAAAGAGTAAATGCTCCATGTGTCTGACAGTCTTCAAACAACCACCTCATGAGGTTCCCTTCTCTACTCTTCTGTCTGCACTCGCAATCACATGAATTTGGCATAGAACATTAGCTGGGGGCCAAAGTGCTTAAAAAAGAAGTAGAAAAGGAAAATGTAAATTCTTCAAAAAAACTAACTGAACCACAGTAAGATCAACGTCAAAAAGTTTTGCAGAGATAGAGTTGCAAATTAACCTGTGAATTTACTCTTCCTGGAAAATTATTTGATTGCAACAGGAATAGTAAATATTTTCTTGGTTTCTTAAGTAGAATCCAAGACACAGCATTCTGAGAAATGGTATGGAGACTTAGGCCGACTTAAGCAAACTGGGAGGAGTGGCAGATCCCACACTGCAAAGGGAAAGGGGGGATGGGCAGGGGCAGGAGCTGGAGGGACCAGCATTTTGGGAGAAGTTCACTTGTGCCTGTTGATTGCCGTGGAGTCAGCACCACTCATAATGAACCTAAGAATAAAAGACTTGAAGCCTTTCTATAACTACCATTGTTTCTCAAATACATGAACCTTTTTTTTCCAAAAATTTGCCCAAAATAAAGTGAGAGCAGTTCGAGCCAAAATTTACTTAGAGCATCCTTTCCCAAGTCCTCTAATCTCCTCAAAGTTCTGAACAGTGAGGAGCAGCACCTTATCCTGAACTCAGCACAGAGCTGGATATGAATGCAAGTGAAAACAATAGAATCACAGGTCCCGGAGCAGTTCTGTGACCTCGTGCAAATCTCAAGAGTTTTGGGGAGTTGAGAGATCTGCAAAAATAAGGTGTGGGGCAACTTTTTATTTATAAATAAACACAAGAAAAGAGAAGGCCTCTAAAGGAAGAATAAATTAATGATTGTTAAGCATCTTGGAAATTCAAAGTGCCATTTAAATGCAAAGTAGACTGCAGGGTAACAAGTTCATTTGGGCTTCCGGGAGAATGACTGTCAACTGCGTGAGGCATTAAAAGTCACAGGCTATAAAATAGGCAGTAAAGTGGGCTTTGTTCAACTGGCCCTGCAGAACCACATAACGTTGCCTAAAACAAATGGTCTAAGTCCTTGGGGCTCAGCAGCACCACAGTCCATCCATGGTGAGGACAGCCCAGGCAACTGGTCTACCCCTGTGGAGTTAGCTTGCCCTCCTGACAGCAGTGTCCTGCGTAGTCACTACACTTTCCCAAGAGCCTCCTTGTGTGTGGTTCATTTAAACTAAAGGCCCAAGAACATAGCTATGATTATCCTCATTTCAGCAGAGGAATTTAAAGCTCATCTAATTAAATAACTTTACTCAATATAAAACAATCAGTCGCCACCTAGTCAGTTTTAGCCCATGGAGAGTGCATATGTATCAGAGGACACCTGTGCTACACAAAGTTTTCAAGGACTGAATTTTCAGAAGTCCGTCACTGGGCTTTCTTCCAAGGTGCATGTCAGTGGGCTCCAGCTGCCAACTTGCCGTTAACAGTTGCGTTCAACCAGTTCTACCACTATGGGTACAATGGCAACCAAACCGAACTAAACCCACTACTCTTGGTGGCTTCTGACTCACGGTGGCTCCACCTGGCTCCTCAGATTGTGAATCTTTCTGGGAAGAGGCTACCCATCTTTCTCCCACACAGCAACTATTGGACTTGAGCCACTGACCTCTCAGTTAATAGTCTCCACACTTTCCCCACTACTCTACTTGGCCTCTTTGTCCAATATCAAGCAACTGGTTAGAGACAGAGGAGCCATGGTGATGTGGTACTTAAAGCAGTTCTGCTGCTAATGGAAAAATACCCATCAGCCTCTGCAAACAAAAAGGTGTGGAGGTCTGCTTCTGTAAGAATTAGCCTAGGAAATTCTTACAGGGCAGTGCTGCCTTGTCCTTTAAGGTCACTGTGAGTGGAAATTAACTCAAGAGCAAAGAGATATAGACAGAGGCAGAAACTGAATGTGGCCTGGCTCTGCTCAGCTGCTTCTGATTGACAATGATATCTCTGTTCTTTGCCCCCACTAGACCACTCTGGTCGCCTCTAAACCCAATGCAGCATATGGTCCCTGGGTTATTTGAGCACTTGGAGCTAACTCTTGACAAAAGGACCAAGAAGAGTCAATTTTCTTTATTTCCATATTTCTTCTCGAACTCTTGTTTGCCTGAATGACTCTTGACTGGAAGACGTGAAAGGGAAAAACTTTTTTTTTTTTTAATCTTAAGACGTCACTTGTCTGATTCTATGGGAAATATATTAAAAGGGATTTTTAAAAAAATGCTCCTGAAGTATGCATAAAATGTTAGTAAGTTATAGATTTCTTTTTTTCCTCTAATCAATTGGCTAGAATCCCTGAGTGGTGTGAATGAAAAATGAGCTGACAACCAAGAAAGACTGGAGGTCCCAGTCTACCCAAACACATCCTCAAAGAGAGAAGGAGTGCTCTACTTCCAAAAAGGCCAACCACTGAAAACTCTATGGAGTTTTAGATGGCAGATTATGTTACTCAACTGGATAGACAGAGTCATGACCCCAGGTAATAAACAACCTGATGATAAAAATCAGAATGGGTCAGGTATGCCCTTTAAACCAATCCTGAGGGCTTCTGGGAAGTTTCTTGTTTCTGTTATCAAGATATGGATAAACTGTTGTTGTTGTTGTTGTTGTTGTTGTTGTTAAGTGCCATTGAGTCGTAGATGACTCATAGTGACTCTATGAATGAAAGACCTGAACACTTGTATAACTTTCATTGTTTCTCCATGTTCATTGAATTTCCGGAGGCAAGCTATTTCGGAAGTGGACGCCACTCCTGATGATAGATAGATAGATAGATAGATGATAGATAGATAGATAGATAGATAGATAGATAGATAGATAGATAGATAGATAGATAGATAGAATAGCTAGTTAGCTAATCTTTGCGTAGATTAACACTTTGAAAACTGTATCATTGTTCCCACTTATGGTTGGTACATCTTCTGAAGGTTATAGAGAGAAGTGTCCTGGAGAGATGTGGGGCTTAGGAGTTTGAAGGAGGGATCTGTTGGAGCCAGAGTCCTATTAAAACATCAGTGTCATTGTTGCATTATTCACAATAGCAAAGAGATGGATGCAACCCAAGTGCCCATCAATAAATGTATGGATGAAAAAACTATAGTACATTCACACAATGGAATACTACACAGCACTGAAAAACAATGAAATAGTAAAGCATTATACAACATGGGGGAAACTTGGGAACATTATGCTAAGTGAGATATCTCAGTCACAAAAGGAATACTATGCAGCATGCAGGAGCAATGATTTTGTAAATCACTACCTAACTACTTGGAAGGGACTGGAGAGCATTATGCTAAGTGAACTAGTTCAGTCCCTTAATGACTGTATATATTATATAAGACCATTATTGTAGAATGTGTATGAGGATCCAAGGGAGGGGAGGCAGGAGCAGAGGGTTGAGGATGGGCAGGGTGGTAGTGATGGTGGTGGTGGTGGTGGTTAACCATAGGGTTGCACAATTGGGTGAGTGGAGGGAGAGTTGTGTAAAGGAAATGAGAATGATCCTGTGTGAAAAACAATGCATATGAACTTCGTAAGTAAATCAGTATAAAATTAAAAAAAAATCTTTAAAAAAAAAGATAAATAGTGCATAACATCACTGTTATAAAGTAGGTCAGGCATGGAATGAGGTTGGGGAAGGAACGGAGAAAGAGTGGATAGATTATGAACATTGCATTAGAACAGATGAGGGGAAGAACTGTCCAAAAGGAATATATGATCATGCATTATATGTATGAGAACAATTTGGAACAAGGGGTACCTTGTGGGGTAGGCTGGGCGAGGAGGAGAGAGAAGGGAAATTTGTAACAATGAATAAATAAAAGGGGAAAAGCGTCAGTGTCAAGTATTTTTAAAGAAGCGGAGGAGGTATCTGTAGGAGTTACTTGGAAAAGACATAATTTCTGGGTTACCTGGAAAGGGAACAATGCAAAAATATTAGGTGACCTCAAAACAGCTGGGCTGGGTGAGGCCAGATGGCAGAGAGGTTAAGGGCCCCGGGGGAAGGCAATGGAAATCAACACAAGAGGACAGAAAAAGCTGATAGGTGGGAGGGGCTGGCCTGATCAGTGACTAAGAGCAGAAGAGATGACTGATCCCAAAGGATGAGCCCAAAATCTAGCACCTGCTACAGGGACAAAGCAGTAAACTGTACAGAGCAAAGAAGTCATTTGAGATCACCCGACAAATAGAGAACAATATCTTCAACGCCACTGCTGTTGTTGTTAGGTACCATTCAGTCAGCATCCAGTCATGATAACCTTAACAGAGGGACTTCATGGTCTGCAGAACATCCATGAAAAAGAGAAATTCATATGGAGGTGGACTGGCACAGAGACTACAGCAAGGGACAAAGACAGAACTCTGGAAAGTGCCTCTCATTATCAACAGAGTTAATCACTGAAAGAAAAGCTCTCATTGATGAACAGGAATGCTCAGGATAGATATTCTTTTGACCATTTTCTAGGGAAATGCACTATAATTTTAGAGGTGATAAGTGACATCTCCCAGGTGCAACTGTCACTCACACATACACACTTTGCTAGAAGATAATGTTGAAGATCTTTTTCTTAGTTCTGTTTCATTTGGTTTGTTTTCCTCTTATCTGATAGAAGAAACTTTATTTGCATTTTAGGAAAAATATCTAAAAAGACAAATATTAAACTATGGAGGAGAGACAATTGCAGAGCAAAAACTCTGAGGGAAAGGACAGAGAGTGGAACGTGGAGGAAACTGGAGAAATCTGCCTACTGAGCTTCCAGCTTCTTTGGGCCAGACCATGGGAGCCAAGGCTGCTGTGGATATAAGCCAGTGACTAGAACACCGGGGTTGCAGAAACTTCAAGACTCCTGTATGCCCTAAGAAGTGGGAAACGCGGTATCTTTGGAAAATGAGGAATGGGTAATCAGAGACAAAAGACTTGAAAGGAAGTGGAAGTTTGAGAGAATTCAGGACAGTTTCTGGTCAACACTGAAGGCCAGTTGAAGAGACATCTGTGAAAGCCTTTTTAATGTCTTTCTCCTTCCTCCATCCCCTCCATCACCTTTTAACCAAGGAGCTCACCTAGAGAGTTATTCACTCTAAACAAGAAGGAGAGGAGGAAATTGCCATTGATGAGAAGTAATAACTAAACCTGACTGAGTTTGACAAGATAAAAGTGAAGAGAAAGACAAAAAACACCAAGAAGGAGAAGTAGAAATAAGAACAGGAAGAAAAATCATGGGTTAGTAGCTCTATTGTGATTGGGTGTCATCAAATTGATTTTGACTCATCGGGACCCCACCCTACCCCTAAACACAGCAGAACTGTCTCATAGGGTTTTCTAGGCTGTGTGTAATCTTCACAGGAATCATTCACCTTTTTCACATAGAGTCACTAGGTCAGTTCAAATGATCAACCCTTTATTAGCAGAAGGGCATTTAACCCTTGCACCATCAGGATCTCATAGACAGGCTAGACCTGTCTAGTTAAGATAAAGGGCTTTGGAATCAATCAGACTGATCGTTGAATTAATGGGAAATCTGGGACTAGGTAGGACCCATTCATCCCTTCAACTACAAGTTTGAATTCCTGCGATGTGTCAGATAGTGTCTTAAGAGTTGGAGACACACTAAACAAAACAAACAATGTTGCTACTCCCTGAAGTTTATATTCTCATGAGAGGAACAGGAGGAGCTAAATAGAGAAGCTGTGGTATATTCGCACAATGGAATATTATGCTGCATTGAAAAACAAGAAACTCATGCAATATTATTCAAAATGGGTGACCCTGGAGGACATTATGCTGAGTGAGGTATCTCAGTCA